TCGTTGAACGGTTTAACACTTAGAACAATATTCATATTGAACGTGTATCTAATCCGGACAATAGTCCGCTCAAGATGTGTCCGGTTTAAAAATAAACCGCTCCCCATGTGGTCGTATTCCTACTTCTCAGTATAAAATCATACGTAATACTACCAATTAACCGCCCGACACTCAACCGGTTTACCAACTCCGGACAACAAACCGCTCATGGTTTGTTCGGTTTAAAACTAGTCCGGTCACTAAGCCGCTCAAGGCTTGTCCGGTTTAAATGCTTATTCGGTCACCCTTTGTCCGGATAAACACTTAAACAAATTAATCATGGTTTCTTTTCAAATAAAAACAATACGAAGCATGCAAATAAACCAGTAAAATCTTTATACAAAAAGATTTAGAAACCACTCACCTTATAAAGCTTTTGAAACCAAAACGCTTGAAATCAATCTCTTTTGAAACTTGACACTTGCAACCAACTTGAAATCTCTTTCTTAAAGCAAACCGGACAACACTCTTCTCAAAACCTCTCAACTTTCTTAAAATGGCAGGGAAAAGGAAAATGAGGAGGTGAAGCCCCCTTTATACCTCCCAAGTAGGGAAAGGTTGGTTTAGATCGCCTTCCATATCTCCCTCCACCTCATGTATGAAAACTCACATACACCCATGCATACATACATAGCACATGCATGCATAATATAATCATATATATATTCACACAAAAAAAATATATATATATATATATATATTTTCATTTAATTCACAAATTCTCATACCGGCATGTATCAATTATCATGCTATCACGTAATTATTAAATCAGATAATCACGTATTAAATACCTTGGGTAATAACCAGGATCTAGTTATCACACGACTTATTGTCCGGATTAGTTAAACCGGACAAGCCTTAAGCGGCTTATTGTCCGGAGTTTGATAAACCGGTTGAGTGTTGAGAGATTTATAATTGGTAGTATTACTTGTATTTTTTACTGAGAAGTAGGAATACGACCACATGGGGAGCGGTTTATTTAAACCGGTCAAGTCTTGAGCGGAATGTTGTCCGGACTTGTTATCCGGATAAAAAGATGAATTTTGTCTTTAAGTGTTAAAACGTCCAAAGCATGTGTGGTGTGTTGACCGGATTTGATATCCAGACAAAGTGGATTTTATTTCTAAGTGTTTAAATCGAACAATTGTTGACCGGATTTGTTGACCGGATTTGAGATGATGTTTTGTGATTTTAAAAGAAATTGTTATTTTTATCATAAATGAAGTTTTGGATATAAATGTTTTTAGACTGATAACAATTCCAATAGCTGCGGTCTATTCGAAATTATTTTTGTAAATGTTTTGATGAAGTGATAAGGGTGGCATATCAAGGAGAGGTGTCCATTTGATATAAGGGTGGCATATCAAGGAGAGGTGTCCATTTGATTTAAGGGTGGCATATCAAGGAGAGGTGTACATTTGATATAAGGGTGGCATTGTCTGTGTGTGGTATTATATAACACTTTCTATTATATCCATTAAGACTACCGTGGTCTGGAATCTTTATTTTCTTTGTGATTTAAAAATTTAGGATCAAGGTTCTTATTGAAAATCATAGTCTGGATGTTATTGAGGAGGAAATATCAGGTTTGGCCTGAATCTTTGTTTAAACCTTGTTTGATAAGAAAATGTTTAAAAGTGGCATTAAATGGAACCCTATTGGTTCAAAGGTAAGAAATTTATACAGCTACGTGGTTAGCTTGGAAGTGGAAAATGATTTGGTAATACCTTCTTGCATATTCATATATTTGTGATATATATATATATATATGTGAATAGTTGTTTTATAAAGGTTTTGGTGATCCTTCACCCTGTAATTACATGATTAGGGTAACTCACTAGACTCTTCAGTCTAACCCACGTTTTGTGATTTTAAAATATGTATTGCAGGAGGTGTGGAAGGTAAGAGAAAGGAAAAGATATAATGCTTATCTTATATGCATTTTGGATGAAGAGTTGCTTTTGATGATTAGTACAAGATTGTATTTTAAATTTTTGGACCTTGTATTTGGTCATGATAGATTCTTGTACTAAGGGGACCCAGATGTATATGAATATGTATTTCTTTGATTTGAAATATGTGTTACATGCAATATGTGGGTTGGGGCGTTACACAATTTTATAAAGACGAATAAAAGTGAAACCTTACAACGAGCAAATCAGCAAGAAAAACTACAGCAACTTTGACTCACAAACCACGCCATAAGAAGCCAAAAAAGACAAAGGGAAATGCACCAAAACATAAAGTGAAAACAAGCCAAAAAATATATGGCGTAAATCACCAACATCTTCCAGAACCATACACCTTCATCTTCCACATTATCACACGTCATTGATTCGTGTGAGTTTCTTCTTTGTCTTCCACGCCATTCTTTGAAGGATCTACATTTTGATCTCAGCCACAACTTTGTCTCCAGCATGGTTGTAATTGTCAAAGAACTTTCTGTTCCTTTCCCTCCATATATGGTATACCGTAGCCGATATACCAAGTTTTTGGACCGTAGACCATGATTTCCACCTTTGTGATAAACCCCTGTTAAGAATATCCTCCCATTTGTTCAGACAATTCTGTAACCCAACTTCCTTTTTAATAACCTCCCAAATACTACTCGAGTAGTTGCATTCAAAAAATAAGTGATTGTGCGTTTCAATCACTAATTTACAGAAAACACATTTCAAATCTGGAGGTTCATGCTTCCACTGACTAAGGCGATCTTGGGTTGGTAATTTATTCTGACAAGCCATCCACATGCAAAGAGCATGTTTAGGTATGTATGCTTTATTCCATACTACCTTGTACCAATGCACAATCGGCCCCACTTCTTGTAATGTTTGCCATGCCACTTTTACCTCAAATTCTTTTCGAGAATATTTAGCATCAACCCATCTGACCGTATCCTCACTTTGACTGGGAGGTGGAATCATAATACTTTGCAACTGGGGAAATTGTTGTAACCATTCCACCGGCCAATTAGTGCCAAGCCGTTGCATGAGATCATTAACCGTAGAGTTATTGTGAAAACCATGAGCATTTATGAATTTGTAAGACAATAATTGAATAAGGGGACCAAACTCACTCCACGTGTCTTCCCACGCATGCATAGATAGACCATTTCCCACATTATAGATGAAAAGTCGTCTGCAATGAGGTCGTAACTCTAAAAGGTTCCGAAGAATCCACGACCATTCATTCCTCTTCTTGATTATCCAAAAATTCCTGCCCCGAATATAATGAGACTGAATCCAAGAGACCCACATGGTATTTCTTCGAGTAAGAATGTCCTAAATATGTTTAAAAAGTTAACACCGATTCCAAATCGCAAGTCTTTTCATACCAAGACCACCATGTCGTATAGGTAAACAGACTCTATCCCAAGATACTCGACATTTTCCCATTTCACCCTCCGCTTTATTCCATAAAAAATTACGGAACAGCTGTTCAATTTCATGGATAGTAGTTGTCGGTACTAGAAATACCGACATCCAATAAGTTTGCATAGAATGCAGAACAGAGATGATGAGCTGGCGTCTTCCTCCATATGAAAGAAATTTATTTTTCCAGTTCAATAAACGAGATTTTAGTTTAAGCACAAGAGGGTTAAAATCACGTACCTTCAATTGCACTGGAGAGAGAGGAACTCCAAGGTATCGAATAGGAAAAACCCCCGGTCGAAAAGGCAAGCAGTTTCGAATAATATTTTGAACATCCAACCCCATATTTCTGAAAAACACTTCACTTTTTTCAAGACTCGGTGACAAACCCAAACGATCCTCAAACAATTGGAGAGCTCGTTTTATCACTTCAACTGAGGCAGCATCCCCCTGAGAAAAGATAAACAGATCGTCCGCAAAACATACATGGGTCAACTTTATCTCAGCACATCCTTGATGGTACGCAAAATTAATCTCCTCTTCAATACATTTTGATAGAAGCATCGATAGACCTTCCATAACCACCGTGAACAAGTAAGGAGATAATGGATCCCCTTGTCTAAGACCCCTCTTACCATGAAAAAACCCTCTGGTTGTCCATTAACACAAATAGAGAAAGTAGGCGATGTGATTAGAGACTTTATCCAGTTAAGCATAACTGGATGAAAACCCATTCCCTTAAGCATCACTAGAAGAAACTGCCAGTCAACTGTATCATAAGCTTTCCGAATATCAATCTTAAACGCACACTTTGGTTCCCCTTGAGGTTTCTGATAACCTGCTACAAGCTCATGAGCCATTAAGATATTATCAGTTATCTGACGTCCTGGGATGAACCTGAGCCTTGCTAATAAGAACATCCAATGAGCCTTTCATCCTATCTGCAATAATTTTACTGATACATTTCAGCAAAACATTACAACAGGCAATAGGACGATAATCAGTAACACATGAAGCATTTGGAACCTTCGGGACTAGGCAAAGTAAAGTATGATTCAATTGGTACTCTAAGTTTCCAGAGTAGAAGAAATTATGTACCGCAATAAGAACATCCCTACCAACCACACTCCAAGCCGCTTTAAAGAACTTTGACGAGAACCCATCAGGACCAGGAGCCTTGTCATTCCCAATATCGAACAGAGCAGACTGTATTTCCATATCAGTAATAAGTCTGATTAAATGCAGAGACTCCGATAACGATAAAGAGTGAACGAAAGAACAATCCACCATAGAAGGACGAACTATCATATTAGACCTACCCAGAATACTTTCAAAATGATTAACAGATGCTTGTGGAACATTATGATGCTCAAAGATAGTACCAAAAGAATCCATAATAGTAGCAATATGGCTCCTATTACGCTTCTCTCTCATAGCATGAAAGAAGAACTTAGAGTTTCCATCCCCTTCATTAAGCCAAGAAATCTTAGCTTTTTGTCGAACCATTTCCATTTGATCATTCCTAGCTTTTTGGTATGCTAACAAGAGGTGAGCAATGTCCTCTTTCAGCAAATCATTAAAAGGGTCTAGATCACAAGCCAATTGAGCAACATCAAGTTCCGTCTTTAACATAGCCACCCTCTTATCCAAACACCCATAAGAATTGCGAAGCCGACGACAAACCCCTTTTATCTCTTGTATTTTTCTAAGTACTCTCTTCATATATGAACCTCTCTGGGGCTTCATCCACACCCCCTCCACAGACTTAAGGAAGTCCACATGAGTAGTCACAAAATTATCAAATTTGAAACCATGTTGACGAGGTCGCCTACCAACTTTGAAGGAAAGAATGCCCAGAGAATGATATGAGATCCCTCTTGGTTCAAAAATAACCGAGGCGTCCCCAAATCTAGCAATAAATGCTGAATTACCCAAAATGCGATCTAATTTACGCATTATACCGTCACCCCCAGCAGGTTTTTGCGTCCAGGTATATTGGCACCCCTGATATGTGATATCAAAAAGCTCAACCTCTTCCAAACAATGATGAAATTCCTCCATATCTGAGTTACGTCTAGAAGAACCACCCAATCCATCATAAGGAAAAAGCATTGAGTTGAAATCACCCATCGCAACCCATGCTTTTCTTTGAACAAAAACATTAAATTTACCAACATCCCGCCAAAGGTCCCTCCTTTCCACTCCCGTATTACACCCATAAACAAAGGTAATAAAAATGGGCTCAAGATGACCAATAATCTGAATTTCACAATGCACATATTGTAGGTTCTTCTCAATCATTATCAAAGACAAAACAGACGGGTCCCATGCAATAATAAGACGAGTGCCATGATTACACAATAACCCATTAGTGATCCAACTCCAATTACCAAATAATCTACCACACACTTCCCCCATTTGACTATGTAAAACTTTAGACTCAATGATGCAACATAAAGAAAGGCGCTTTACATGAATAAGATCACGTACCTCTTTTTTGCTTTATTAGGGCATTTAGACCCCTAATATTCCAAGAAGCGAACTTTATCATTGAGAATTTGAATTGAGTGTCTCCCCTCTACTTTGTGCCATAGAATGCCCCTCAGTATCAATTATCTCCATATCATCATCACTAGAACCATCAGACTGTAAAGAGGAAAACTGATTACTAATAGACGTGGAATTTACCGCACCTCGTCTCGGATGAAAAGCATGAACCACCGCTTGTACAAGTTCCGGTCCCCCCTTGGAAAGAATTGTGACATTCGAACGATCATCTCTTCCTTTTGGCGTTCTCCCAGCATCCACCGTACAATATTGACTTTCCACACGTTCCACACTATCCCCAACTAAGACTGTAGAAACTGAAGTAGTTGCCTGAGCACCATTACGAGATCCAGAATTAAGCTTCGGCTTCCAATGTTTTCTTCGAGGTTCTTGAAAACCATCATTATTCGACGACATGAAATTATCCTTTGGCTTTTGTTTTTCCCCTTTCATGCAAGAAGACGTACGATGTCCAAAAACTTTGCACTTTGAACATTGTGAAGGCACCCAATCATACTCCAAAACCACCTTTATCACATCCTCACCAATACCCGAAAGCCTCGGTTTTACAACTTCAATTTGCCTTTGAATCTCACCCACGACCCAAACATCCACCAAAAATTTAGCAAAATTAGTACGTCCCCAAGCTTTATCACAAGTGCTAGCTGTACAAGCATCCAAACGCAAAGGAATTCCAACTGCACTGGCAATACGGCTAATACCCTCTCTATTGAACGCAACTAGAGGAATGTTAAAAAAAATTATCCATAACGGACATGAGGTATGCTCGGGTTTATGAAGTCCCTTTGAGGGGTCCCAGGATGAAACAAAAAGCGGCCTCCCTCTAATCATGAGGGGAGACGACTCAACCACATGATTGCAACCACCATCATCATTAAACCGAAAAAAGAAATAGCCAAGCTCATTTACCATAGCATCTATAAGGCCAAACTTTCCCCATGCATTTTGAACCGCACGTAGAACAATGGGAAAAGGAAGAYGAGGGCCCAAAAAATACCCATAAAGAACCGACTGGAAAGATTTAGCCATACCTCTCGTTACTTCCAAAGGAAACTGGATCCGCGGATTAACACTCTTTTCAACCGGAAAATATGTCAGCTCTTGCTTTGTAGGACCTCCCACTATTTCGGCAAAAGACTTTTGAGCTTGCATGTGCTGCTCACCCAAAACTGCAGGAGAGAGACGTTCCCACACCGAGACCCTTTTATTGGGACCAACATTATCCCCAATCGCCGTCAAGACCGCTTCCTTTACCCCTCCATGCAAAGAATTTCCATGCAATTCACAAGGACTCTTCTCATCAAGGATTACATCAGCAAAATCCTGGGAGGAAGGTTCTTCCAAAATCACGTCCGCAAAATCAAACATAATTACCACAATCGCATACAATAACTAGCGCTCCCAAATCCTTAGTCAAGAACCCGTGATGCTGAATCCCTCGTAGAGCTTTCTCAATAAAATAAACGAAGACCTCACAGGGAGGTGCTGAATATTCTATCAAGTAACTTCACAAAGGAAACGAAGATCACAGAAACACTTGACACAAGGAAAGAAACCTAGATAAAGCACACAACCAACCCACACGGCCAAACCTAAAGCATGCAAACCCTATTCGAAAGCAAAACACAAAACAGCCAAACCCTAGCAGCAATAAACTAGGGAACAGCAGGTGCCGCTCTAAAACAGACCCAAACCAGCAGCAGCACACGGGCAAAAAACTTTGCAACAGCAGCAAGACACCAGCGAGACAAAACAGAAACAGCAGCTATGGAAAACTTGACAAAAGCAGCGAGAAACAACAGCACCAACAGTCTCAAAACAAAACTCAAACGGAACCAAACCAGCTTTAAGAACCCAGAAACAATCAATCGTAAACAGCAAACCGGTCACTTAAAATCACAGCCTAAACCAGAAAAACAGTAGCAGAACCACAGAATTCCACTAGCAAGAACATCAGCAAAAAAGAAGGCCACACAGAACTAAACAAGAGCAACCAGTAGGCTTAGACAGGAGGTTATTACATAAAATAATAACCCTCAAACCAACCAAACCGAACTAAAACCAGGAAGGGCCGACGCGAAATCCAACCAGCAGCAGGACGAAGGCAATTCACAGTAATAACTTCGGTAGACAGCAACGAAAGCCACAAGGAAACCACAGCCGAAACAATTTTGCGATCAACACAGACAGAAACCCTAGCCACAAAGGAAACCCTAGCGGCCGTTCCTAATGATTACAAAGAAGAAACCCTAGCAATCGTTACCTTCGTGGACTACACCAGGAACTAAGAAGGAGATCGATCAAAGTGATAAGACTTTAACCAGATCGAAACACCAACAAAGCAGCGAAACCTTGACTAGCAATCAACAAACCCTAAAACAGCCGACGTTCATAGTTAGTCTAACTTGACGTTAATGTGACTAACTGAGTTAGAATGGGTCCATTTTGGTGTTAGTGGGTTATAATGGGACAATCGATTTTGATCGAGTCATTTGAGTCAAAATGACAATACGTGGATCATAATCAATCTCGTTAGACCCTTAATGGGCATATTTTTCCAGAAAGAGTCTAATTGGGTCAAAATGACACTAAATGTCTCATATTTAGTTTGGTCAGACATTAGAGGGTATACTGAAAGGGGAAAGCAACCCCAGGCAATTTTATAAATACTAGTAAAAGAGAGAAAAGTCAAGAGAGCATATCAGCAAGAGACGCTACGGCAACTTTGGCTTACAAACCAAGCCATAAGAAGCCAAAAAAGACAGAGAAATGCACCAATAAGTAATAATAAAGCAAGACAAAAAATAAAAGGAGCAAAATCCCGCCATCTTCCAAGAACGAAACCCTTTAGCAAACACCTTTTCACGCATCACTGAGAGGTATGAGTTTTTGTCTAGCCTTCCACGCCATTCTTTGAAGAATCTGACTCTTGATCTCAGCCACCACTTTCTCTCCAGCTTGATTATACTTATCAAAAAAATTTCTRTTCYTTTCCYGCCATATGTGGTATACCGTAGYAGATATACCAATCTTTTGAACCGTGGACCATSACTTCCACCCTTGAGATAAACCCCTGTGAAGAATGTCCTCCCATTTGTTCGGACAATTTGTTATCCCAACTTCTTTCTGAATGACCTCCCATATACTATTCGAGTAGTTGCATTCAAAAAATAAATGATTATGCGTTTCAAGCACAAGATTACAGAAAAGACATTTCAAGTCCGGAGGTTCATGTTTCCATTGACTAATGCGATCTTGAGTTGGTAATCTGTTTTGACAAGCCATCCACATA